GAGAGAGAGAGAGAGAGAGAGAGAGAGAGAGAGAGAGGTCACGAAAGAACTGTAGAGCATGACAGTGAGTGGGAAGATGAGACGAAGCTTACCAGAAGGAACCATAACCTAACTTGATTTAGGCGGTACGTGAGAAGTATAGAGTATATAGAGAGAAGTACTATTTGGAAGATTAGACGAAGCGGAGACGGAGATGGAGAGGAAGATGGAGATGCAGAAGAAGACGAAGATGGAGATGGAGATGGAGAAAAAGACGAACATTGGAGATAGAGATGGAGATAAAGGCAAAAGACGAAGATTAGACAAAGACGGGAGCGGAGACGAAGAGGAAAATGGAAATGGAGATGGAGATGGAGACGAAGATGACATGCAGAAGAAGACGAAGACGAAGATGGAGATGGAGATGGAGATGGAGATGGAGTTGAAGAAGACGAAGATGGAGATGGAAACGAAGATGGACAGGAAGACGAAGATGGATATGCAGAACAAGAAGACGAAGAAGAAGAAGAAGAAGAAGAAGAAGAAGAAGAAGAAGAAGGAGATGGAGCTGGAGCTGGAGACGGAGATGGAGATGCAGAGGAGATGGGGATGGAGATGAAGACGAAGATGAGACAAAGATGAAGGCAAAGATGAGACAAAGATGGAGGCGAAGACGAAGACGAAGATAGAAAATGATTATGGAGATGGAGACGAACATGCAGACGCAGAACAAGACGAAGATGGAGACGACGATGGATATGGAGATTGACGTGGAGATGGCGAAGGAAACGAAGATGGAGACGAAAATGGGACTCGAAAATGGAAATGGAGATGCAAATGCAAATGCAAATGCAAATGCAGCATACTCGGCTCTCGACAGCTCGAGCATTGACTTATCCGATTCATCTCGCCTTCCAAGAGCTGACTGTTCTTGCATTGTTTTCCACATATATATTTTATATATTTATATATACGAAATATAGTATCCACGTGGGCGGCCTTGTACGCAAGAGGTTCTGAACTTGGGGAGTTATAAGGAAGCAGATCAAAAACTGAATTCATTTTTTCCTGTTTTTTTTCTTTTCTTTTTTTCTTTCCTTTTTTCTCTGATATTCTTGTGACAATATATATGTATATATCGTCACAAACAGAACTGCCCGGTAAACCGTAGGCAGAGAGAGAGAAGAGGACAACAAACGAGGGGCTGTGACAAACTGTT